CCTTGGTGCCTTAAGGGGCCTCCCTGAGGCCCCTTAAGGCACCAAGACCTCTTCAAAACCCTAAACGCTCAACCTGAAGAGTAATCGTCAGCCCGGTTTTGTTTAGGGTTTGTTTAGGGTCAATTAGGTGTGTTAGATAGGGTTTAGGGTTGTTTAGGGTTTAGGGTTTCTTCAAAGTTCTAAGGTTCTGCTCAGGGGTTTAGAAATTGTTTCGGGGTTTAGGGTTTGTTTGGGGGGTTTGTTTGGGGATTAGGGTTTGTTTGGGGATTCGGGCTCGTTTAGGGTTTAGGAACCGTTTAGGGGTTTAGGATTTCTTAAGGGTTTAGGGTTTGTTTTGGGTTTAGGCGTAGTTTCGGGCTCGGTTTGTTAGGGTTTAGGGTTTCTTTGGGGGCTTATAGGATGTGTTTAGGGTTTGGGTTTGTTCCAAGACGGTTTTTACGCGGGTTGACAGGGTTTGTTTAGGATTTAGGGTTTGTTTAAGGTTTGCGCGAGGGTTTAGGGTTTGCTTAAGGCTTAGGGTTTGCTCAAAGCTTTAAGGTTGTAGGGTTTAGGTTCTCAGGGTTTGAGGGTTGAGGGTTGAGTAGGGGTTTCGGGTTCCGCGGGTTCCGGGTCTTCAGGGTTTAGGGTTCAGGGCTCTTCCCTGCTCCCCTCCCTGCCCCACCCCATCCAAAAATCGCCCCTCCCCTTGGAACCTCCCCTTGGAACCTCCCCTTGGAACATTTTCCCTCCACCCCTATTTTTCCTCTCGAAATTCACCCTTTTTCCGAGGAACATTTCCCTCCATCCCGTCGAAATTCCCCCTCCCCCCTTTGGAGATTCACCCCATCCCCCCATACGAAATTTTTCTCCCCCCCCCCCCCCCGCCCCGGTTTGGGATGGCCACGGCATCAACAAAACCGGCCCGGATCAGGGCACCGCCCCAGCACGACCCCAGCCCACCCCAAAATTTTCAATTAAAAATTTTGAGTGAAATCTGGGCCTCCAGAATTTCAATTAACATGTTTAATTGAAATTCTGAAGGCCCAGATTTCAATCAAAAATCTTAATTGAGTTTTTTGGGGCCCCCCACCCCAAAACCAGCCTCCCGCGGGACGGCCGGGGGATTCCAAGGGGAGGGGCGATTTTTGGATGGGGTGGGGAGGGGGGAAGGGAGGGGAGCAGGGAAGAGCCCTGAACCCTAAACCCTGAAGACCCGGAACCCGCGGAACCCGAAACCCCTACTCAACCCTCAACCCTCAAACCCTGAGAACCTAAACCCTACAACCTTAAAGCTTTGAGCAAACCCTAAGCCTTAAGCAAACCCTAAACCCTCACGCAAACCTTAAACAAACCCTAAATCCTAAACAAACCCTGTCAACCCGCGTAAAAACCGTCTTGGAACAAACCCAAACCCTAAACAAATCCTATAAGCCCCCAAAGAAACCCTAAACCCTAACAAACCGTGAGCCCGAAACTACGCCTAAACCCAAAACAAACCCTAAACCCTTAAGAAATCCTAAACCCCTAAACGGTTCCTAAACCCTAAACGAACCCGAATCCCCAAACAAACCCTAATCCCCAAACAAACCCCCCAAACAAACCCTAAACCCGGAAACAATTTCTAAACCCCTGAGCAGAACCTTAGAACTTTGAAGAAACCCTAAACCCTAAACAACCCTAAACCCTATCTAACACACCTAATTGACCCTAAACAAACCCTAAACAAAACCGGGCTGACGATTACTCTTCAGGTTGAGCGTTTAGGGTTTGAAGAGGTCTTGGTGCCTTAAGGGGCCTCAGGGAGGCCCCTTAAGGCACCAGGGGCCGCTTCGTGTTTAGGGTTTAGGGTTTAGGGCTTTGAAGGTCTCGGTGCCTTTCCAGGTTTAGGGTTTGGGGTCCAGGGTTTAGGGTTTTGAAGAGGTCTTGGCACCTTAAGTGGGTTTTTAGGGAGGCCCCTTATAGCACCAAGACCCTTCAGGTTTAGGGTTTAGGGTTTTGAAGAGGTCTTGGTGCCTGTAGGGGGCCTCAGGGAGGCCCCTTAACGCACCAAGACCTTTTCAGGATTCGGGTTTAGGCTGGGCTTTTAAGCTGAACCCCTAAGCCCTCCTAAGCGCCTGGTCCCCTGAACCCTGATATCCTGAAACCCTCCTAACCACAAAACGTCTCACCCTCATATCCTTAAAGCCCCTTTATTATAACCCCTGATCCGCCCTGCCCATAAACCAGTAACCCTCGCACCCTTGAAGCCAAACAACTCAGACATCAAAACCCTGAACCTTGAGTCCTGAAACCCTAAGCCTTCAACCCCAAAACGCCTAGCGCCCTACACCCTAAAGCACAAAACTCGTAACCCTTGAACCTCGAATTCACAGCTACACCGAAAACATTCCAACAAATAATCCCTAAACACCTGAACTTTTAAACCCTCAATCCCTGATTCCAAAACACCTAAACCTCAAACCACCCCAGCTCTAAACGCTGAACCCCTAAAAACACAAAGAACTACACCCCTAAACCCCTAGAGGCTGAAACCTTCAAATCCTAACCCTAGACACCAAAATGCACAGCCCCCTAAGCTCTTCAACTCCCAAACCCAAAACAACCCCAACACACAAACCCCAAGCTCCGAATAAGCTCTTAAATGTCTTAAGCCCCTGAACCCTGAAGCGCATGAACTCTGAACCCCGGCCCCATTACACCTAACCCTCATATCCTTAAGGCATCCCAGCCCCTAAAGCCCTATGCCCCAAAGCCAAAAACCCTGGCACACTTGAAGCCGTAAACCTTCAAATCAACACCTCGAACCCCTGAACCCTTAGGTCTCTAAACTTTTAACCTCTGAAACGCCTGCCCCCTGCAAACCTTAATTAGAAACCCTAAATTCAACTTCTCCTCAAAGGGTTTAAGGGGTTAGAGCGGTCAGGGATTTGGGGGTCAAGGGCTTTTTACGTGTAAGCTTGATGGGTTTAAGGATGGAAGGATGTTTGGGATTGACGTGGAATATGCTGTTTCTGTTAGGATGTTTATGATTTATGTTTGCACATGGCCAAACTACAGGCTTTCTTGTTTGCTCAACAGTCTTTCTAAAAAGCTCGTTAACATCGCCCATTCTTGTAGTTTTGTCCTTCTCCCGTGCTTCTACTAGTGTTCTGGATTTACTCCTGAAAACCACCCTATCAAAATCAACATCATTAATGGTTTGTTGCTTTTCACTCATATAAAATAGTAACGACAACAATGATTTAATAATATAACTAAATCATTATTTAGTATTGTCATCAGTCATAGGCATAACGATTTTACAATTCACCATATCATATTTGATGTTCCACCACGTTTTCTTCCTGATGGTTTTTTAGTTTTCATAATTTCGGTAATTCGTTTCTCTGTTAAATCTTATTACGAGTTTGAACATATTCCTTATTTCGCTGCAATTCGTCGTTGCGTGGCATAGGAACGAACATGGTCTATGCATGTTTGTTGAGGCTTGTATATATAGGCTTTCGCATATGTTGTACTTCATTAAACACTGAAAAACTAAGTCGGTTAGCTAGCTATAACCAGTTAGCAAAAAGTAGTTAACTTTGTTAACTCTGCTAACTAGTTAGCAAAAACCGGGCATTCCAAGTAGGGACGGGCGCTGTGCTTACGCGGAAGCGTACAGAGCTGTTTAGGATTGTGGAGTGCCAGGTTCGGCGCCGTTTTCGTCGCTTTTCGTGGTCTACCCGCTTCCTGACAGCAGCTCGGCAAGGATAGGTTTGAACAAAGGTAGCTTGCTAGTACTGAACGTGTGGACGATGAATGATATCTTGCGCTCTTCAATTGCCTCCCCGAGGTGCTGGCCCAGATGACGCGATGGGCCAGCGACAAGGCATGACGTGAGAAGTCAAGGTTCCTGAAGTGGTGTGCGCCTAAAGTCGCCCCCCCCCGGTTGGGTTTTTGTCCCGAAGCCCCGATTGCTTGACTCCGGTTCGGAAGATTGGAGATGCTTGCGCGCGTGCGATGACTTAGGGTCGGAGGTTTGTCCACGACCGCGCGAGTCGTTTTCCGTGGCAGGCGTGCTACTTTGAGGTTCTTGCTTCCCGCCAGAATCGGCCGCCAGAAAGGTTTCATTTATGATCGAGCGGAGCTGTTTTTACGGAAAACTTACGTCGTTTATCGTGGCGGGAACAGTGCTTCAGCGCTTCTTGTCAAGGGGCTACTTTCGACTAATTTTTCGTTGTGGGCGCAGTGCTTTCGAACTGCTTCTTCCGCGGCGGGCGCATAACTTCATGGGTTTTGGGCGTTCTCCAGTACACATGTACTGGGAGCCCTCTGGAACGCAGAGCCTGTTTTCACTTATGTCGACAGGTGCCTCTTATGTCGCATGTTGAGAATCACGATGACCTTAAAAAACCTCGACAGTCGGAAACTTTGGCAGGCGGAATCCGGCTGTCGTGGTCGTGGATGAGCCTGTTATTGTGTTGTTTCTGAAAATGAAGGGAAGAATGCCTCAAGCGCTGGCAGGCACAGTGAAAACATCCAAAAGGGACTCAAAAGGTCGTGGGTGAGCTCGGACCGTTGTCGTGGACTTGAACCCCCCCCCCCGCCAGCCCCTTGATTGGTCTTGGTCACCCATAGTCACCATGATTCATGATCCACCTGCCAGGACTCTGCGGGGCCAAGCATGGGTCTGCTCCCCGCTTCATTCGGTGCCATTCAGTCTGTGGATTGAAAATGACTGGCCTTGGGCGCTGATTTATGAGGATCTGCGGTTTGAGAGTGATGTGTGTGTGTGTGAGTTCATCCTGACGCAGCGTGGAATTGGTAGACCCGGCAGCAGCTTTGCAGAGTCTCACGCCGAAGCACGATGCACATGCCAACTTGACCGAGTAGCCGAGCTTCTGGGCATCGATCGACCTTCTCTTGCCGTCAGAGGTTCCATGCATGACCTGGGCCCCAAACGACCAAGATAGAGCAGCAGCCCAACGAGAAAAGAACGCTTCAAATCCACACGCACGAACATCGCTTTCGTCCGTGCCATGACCAGCAAGGCTTGCCCTGCGTGCGGGCTTTCGGATGTGCATAGATGTTAATCGACAATTTTCGGTGGCGGTTGAAGCTTCTCATGGTCTTCATCATGGGATTATGTGTGGCAGTTAGCCTGCTTACCGCGTGGCGTTGCCTGATTTTGTCCAGGCTTCGTTTAAAGCTTTGAGAGGGCTTAGGGGATTTGGGGGACGCAGAACGACCCAAATGAAGCAAGAAGGTGTTCCTGGAGGCGGCTTTCAAGCTCGGCCAAGCCTTCGTGGAGGCCTGTCACGGACATTAGCCTGGAGTGGCGGATCCGTCATCAGAAAGCTGCCGCCCTCGCTTGGTTGCTGTAAGAGCTACCGTGCTAAACTGATGGTTTGTGCTGGCGGGGGACGTGACGACCTTTCCTTCGGCCTGCCAGGCCAACGACATTAAGTACTCGTTGAGCTCCAAGGCGGGTCTTTTGGCACGTGGAACTTTGTCGAAATATCTTGAACATCCCTAACCCCCATGTGGTTTTGGGATGTGCATACGCATCCTGATGCACACAAGCAATCGCCTGCACAGCCCACGCTTAGGGTAGATCAGACACCCTCATTGGGGGTGCGGGGTGTGCAAGGTTGTTTTTTTATCGTAAGAATCCGTGACAAGAACCTCAACCAAAACCTCAAGAATATCCTCAGTGATATCCTCAGGGGCTACCTGAATCACAGCTTTGTATGGGTAACAAAAGTCACTATGATTGTCGTGGTCATGGTCGTCCTTGTTAAGAACAACAAAACACTACTAACCGCAATGTTCTAACCATAGTAGTAACAAAACAGTCGCAAAAAAGCAGATGGCAAGATGACTCCTCCTCATCATCATCATCACCATCATCACCATCACCATCGTCATCGTCATCGTCATCGTCATCATCATCGTTGTCGTCATCATCATCGTTGTCGTCATCGTCACCATCATCATCATCGTCATCATCCTCTTATTATTCTTCTTCGTCATCATCAGCATCATGGTAATCGTAAGAAGTTATACTCGTCCCCTCCTAAACCCTGAACCCTAAACCCTGGTCCCCCAAACCCTAAACCACCCCAATCGTGCTGACAAGGACGTCCTGGCGCTCGGGGGCTCGGAGCTCTCGCGACTGTCGGAGCTTTTCGAGGCGCAGCCTGGGCTTTAAGTGTAAGGGTTTACAGGGTTTGGGGTTTGAGGGGTTTAGGGGTCTTGGGGTTTGGTTTTGGGATTTAGGGCTGAGGGTCGGGTGTTTTCGGGTCTGATAGTTAGGGGTTGAAGACCAATGGGATGGGGGGGGGGGGTGGCACTCACAGCTTAAGTAACTGCAGGGTGTAGGCTTTAGGGGTAAGAAAAGGCCATCGAGATCCATGGAGTCATTGTCAACTTGTTGGGATGTTACCGTATGAATACGTGCTCTCTGCCCCTGTCCCCTATGCTTCAGGTCCAAAAGTTCAAAACCCGATCATCACAATCCCTCTCACCCTAGCTGCCCTGTGCACGTCACCGCCTGCTAGTCCGACTACGAATGGAGTCAGAAGGGCCGAGCATTGCCCGTGCCTCAGGTTGAGCGTGCAGGGTTTGGGGGCTAGGCGCGTATGAACCCGAAAGCCTACACTTACTTCCGCTGGCAGTGCCATGTGCAGGACCCCCAGACCCTACAACCCCGAATCCCTCCACCACCAACATCCCAATGTGCGGGATCAATCCAAAGTGGCCCTTTGCGGCAGCCAGGTTTCCCATCTCAGAACCCACCCTTGAACCCTGAACCCTTAAACTCTCACCTCTATACAAACCTATAAACTCTAAACCCTATAAGCCTTATACACCCCTATAAACCCTAGAAAGCCCTATAGACCCCAAAAGACATCCATTGGGAATAGCGAAGGTTTAAGCCGCCCCAGCAGCGCGTGGTGGCACGGCCCTCGGCGGCAGGGATTTGTTTTTCTTCTTTAGGGGTTTGAAGGGGCTTCAGGCAACACCTGCACAATGCAGATCGAGGAAGCATGGGGGATTCCGCAGTATGTGCATCCCGCATGGAGCCCACAAGCAGATGCTCGTGACTTGTGACTTGTGTTGTATTGACCGAGGGTTTCAAAGTTTCTCACGGTAGGCGTCGCTTCCCTAGCAAACACTTCTGACCATTGGAGACATACTGTCAACGTCTAAATTCATTATCAGCATAGTTCCGTAGTCTCCCTAACACTAAAAGTTTGCTGGGCTCGGGTCTTTTCTCAACCCCAGATCGTCGCAAAACCTGGATCCTCAAGCCCTTCAACTTCGGGGGATTGCCGCGGTGTAGGGCTCAATTATGCTGACTTCTCGGCTTGTTAAGATTACTAACCACAGCTTGCAGCTGCCTGTGCCCTGCCCATCCCGGCTCCACCTTCGTGATGCTCTGCTCTGGCTCAATCAACCCTTGTTTGCCGTCGTTGCATTCTGTGCCTCGAAGTGCTACGGGAATTTAGCCCCACGCCACCCCGTTCACAGCCAAAAAGGCCCACAAACACTAGATCCTCAGGATCGTGATGATTGCTGTGGGGACGATCACTGGCACGTGGCCCAAGCCAGATCTCACCAAGCGGGGCATTTTCATGCTTTTTGTCCACGAGTTGCAGTTCGCCGTGCTGAGGTTCCTGCACTGGATCGCCGCGTACCAGATGCCGTCAGCCCCTTGTGGATTCTTGCCGCCGTGTGGACCAGTGGACACTTCCGAACGAGGCGAGCGCAGACTGCGCAGGTCTCCCCGGAGCATCTGGCAAGGTCGGAGACTTTGGCAAAGTTGTAGGGTGCTGCTTGAAACGTCACCATGTGACTGGTTCTTGCAGGATCTGATCGCCACATCTACCACAAAACAGAACAGCAAAAGGCGCATCAAAAGGAAGCAAAGTGCATATCGTGCGTACCAAAGCAACTCAAACAAACAAACAGGCCAACAGCGTGCCCAAACAAACAGAAGCGCACCAAAACAGAGGCGAAGGGCACGCCAAAAGGAAGCACGGCTTGCACGAGCACGGACAAGCAGGTGGTGTCGGGTCGGTTGGTGAGGTTTTGTGGCTAGGATTTGCAGGGTTCACTCTTGAAAGTTCCTTGTTTTTGGCTATTTCTTTGGATGCTGTAGGCGGCGCGACATGGGTACATCATCGACGCGTTTGCCATCGGAGGAGGACGCAACTGTGTGGGATCAGATTGGGACCTTCAGCAAGTTGTGTGTTGCATGCACAGTCAATAACATCCAGCACCAGAAGGGGCTGCAGTATCTTTCCTGGGTCCTCCGTCGTTGGCAGACCCCTGCTGCACTGTACAGGCCAAAGATTAGAGCTCCAAGAGGGTAGCATTGCTGTCCTGACACCTGGGTACTTCTGCTCGTAGTCCGCCGGTGAGGCGCTAGTGCTACTATTTTCCTGAACAAAACCTGGAAGCCGAAATCCGGGGAATCCAGGGCTCCTACGCTCTAGATCCTTATAGACCCTACACCCAAAATTGAGCAATTACTGACGGGCACAACTCTGATTCTATACGGTTCTTGCGCTTGTAGCTCCAGACACCTCCATCCATTCTCAAGGACAAAAAGTACAGAATGTAGACGTAGTTGATCATCGCAAGTCGCAGTGCAGAACGTCATTTGGAAGGATTCCTCCTTTGGGGTTGGGAGGGGTGGACAGTTTTCGCGGGCGGGACTACGTCGTTGCATGCCTGCAGCTCTGCGATGCCAGGGCGAAAGACGTGAGCCTGTGCCCGAGGAGCCGCAGACTCAGCGGCTGGATGTGGGTGAGCTTGTGGGGCTTCGTTTTGTTTTGCATTTTCTTTTTTTTGGGTCGAGGGGCGCTTACAGGGGTTAGGTTGTGGGGTTGCTCTTGCATGCCTTCTGATTCTGAACATGAGACCGAGGGCTTCGACATCCCCATGCGACAGCGCGTCGCAGGCAAGAGGTCTCAATTGTCTTCATTATGGGCTTCAGGGTATGCCTGTAGGATCTGTCCTGGCGGCAGGTGGAGTCATTCCACACGTGGCCACCAGCGGAGGTGGTCCAGCTGATGGAGGAGGTGAGGAAGGCGCGGCAATTTATCTGAAGTTGCCATACTCACCGGGGTAGGTCCGGGAGAGACAAGTAACCTACAAATCGACATCGGCTGCACCTTGCCCTCGCCAAGTTCTGGATGCGAACTTTTGTTAGCATCTGACATTGGCACCGCGTCCTTGTATTCAGGAAGCAGACCTCGAGAATGTCGAGTCCTGAGCTGGTTCAGGGTCACTGTGCCTTCCAAGCTAGCACAATCAGTTGGCTTCGGATGTCAGGCTTGCTTGTAGCGGTAAATTTACGTCCTTGACTGGCCAATGTTGGCTAAATCCATGAGAGGTCAGCAGTGAAGTCTTTAGTAAAGAGCCTAGTTGCGAGGCGATGTACCTAAAATTCAGTTGCCCTGGGCCAGGTCTCGCTTTCCTGGTAGTGGTTTCTGAGGAAATTCGCTAAGTGCCCAAGCCGGGGAACATCGCAAACATTGCTCCGGTTAGAGAAACAAGAGCCTTGGCTGACCAGGATTGACCGAATGACAGACACTGATCCCTGAACTCTCTCGCGCTGGCAAGGCTGAAGGGCAAGCTGAGTATAGCTAAGTATAGCTAAGTAAGGGGTGACTGAGGGCCAGCCATCAGCAAGATGTTTGCCCAATTTCCTCACGATCCTGCCGCATGCTGCGAAGGCCATAAGTTCGGTGCCACCGCCGCTGCGTCCGTCGGCGCGCCGTCTGCATGAGAAGCGAGTAGCCGACAGGTGGGCAGTCTGCGAGGCACCCCTGTTGTGTTTACTCCACTTGGAGGGCCGGTAGGACCTAGAGTTGATGAGGAGTCATGCTTCATGCCTGTTGCCAGTCTAGTAAAGTTTGTGTCGAACTTTGGTAAGGCACCCTTGAGGCCCGCAAACCGCACAGGCCAGGGCTCAAGTCCTGAACAACCGTGTCCCTGCACTACATGGACTGGAGGGTGAGTATACTTGCAAGCCCCCCCCCCCCCCACCCCCAACCCTGCAGTCCAAGACATTCGAAACTGTTTGCAGGGCAGAGGCGGATGTATGGCTGGCTTGCTCCGATGCCTGTTGCCTGCGTTTCCGCGCCCAGGCCATGGTCGGCGTTCAGAGTGCGGAGTTCAGGTCTAACTACTACTATCATATTTCTAATATTGCTTTTTAGCACGAAACAGGCCATATGAAATGAACGAAATGGGGGGATTTTACTATTATTACGGGCCTATATTACTATTGCTTTTGGCCCGTTAATTCAATATCCTTACAATTTTCAATTGAATTTATGAGGAATAAAATGACGCATGAAATTCAAGTGGAAAATTAGGGCTTTTACACATTATTCTCTTCTCTATATAAACCGGGCATGTAAAGAGTCTTTTTTTTTGCCCGGTAATATAGTATGAAGAGAATAATGTGATGAAGTGCGTAATGTACTGAATGAACAGAACGAAAACACGGCACAAAGAACATTATGAACGAAACCAGGATTAACCGTGTAAACGAGAACTCCTATTGAAAAATATTGGAAACACGGGAGTGAAAAGGGTGCGTGACGCATGATTTTAATTGGGGTTTTCGTGGGACGGGCGTATTCTATCACAGGTTAACTCCTAGAAAGTGAAGTGAATAAGCGAGAGAAACGAGCGCAATGAACGGCCCGCGGTTTTAGTATTCACGTGTCATGACTTCCTTCATGCGGTTCTTTCTTATTATTACAGTGAGCTTGCGAACCGCGTAGACGAGAAAACGAAACTAAATTATAAACTTGTGCATGAATTAAGTGAGTGAACGAGTGAGCGACCTAATGATTATTCCTAGACCCAGAGGTGAAAGCATACAGTGAGTAAAAGGGCGCGTACAGCAGCAAAGAGCCCAAAATTAAGGTCTTTTTACAGGGCTCTTAACATTCACTTCGTTCATGCATTCATTTATTCAATTTCGAGCGTGAGAAGACGAAGTGAATGGGCCCTTTTTGATTCTATTTGCGCATACTTGTAATATAATTCACGCGTATACGCAAATATTCTTATAAAGGGGGTTCGTTTCGCTCCCTTATTATATTACTACGAAGTGATAGAGCGTTATAATTACAAACGAAGTGAATGCAAGGAACGTAGTGTGTGAACTAAATTAAATTAGCGATTGAACGAAGTAAACAAGAGATTTCTACTGAAAAAATCCTCAATCATAAGCCGTGTCCTGGTACTCGCTAAAAGACCCAGCGAAATACAGTAGTTTTAGTGGGTCTTTTGCAGGACATACAATATAATATTATTAACGGGCTAATTTCATAAATAAAATTCAAGGCGTGAAAGAACGCGCGATTTTCTTATTAAATTTACTAGCCCGTGCAAAACGTCCACATTAAATATACTAAATTCATGCGTAAACTTGTAATGTAGTATTTTTAAGGGGCTTTTTGCCCACCGTAATTATGTTATAGTTGTAGTGGTTTCGTTCATACTTTTAATGCGCTTTCATGCTTTCACTTCGCTACATTATAAAGTCGCATTAAAATCATTCTAATTATGAGAATGAAGTTGGCCGCACGGTAATAATGTTATACTTCGGTCGCTACCACGAAGTACTTTAGCTTCTGATACTCATAATGATCCACAAAGAAAGCTCTATGTATTGCTTTCTTTTATTGGAAATATATCGCCCCCCTCTAAAAACAGTTTTTGTCATCATGAACGGCCGGGCCTCTGCTGGCTGTGCTTCTCTTTACTAGAAGACACTCCTCTTCACCTCCTTCTCGTTTTGGACAAGGCACCCACATGTCGAGAGCCATTTCATGAAAGAGCGGCCTCGTACTAGAAATGCATTCTGCCACTAGCTTCTCGTATGTCTTATCTAAAGGCCTTGCGGCACGGGCCGCCCTGGCCGTCTGAAAGCTAAAACTCGGGCTTGGGTTTAGGGGTTTAGGGAGCGCAGGGAGTCGGGACGTAATAAAGAAGAGTACAGTAAGAAGAAGAAGAAGAAGAAGAAAGAAGAAGAAGAAAAAGAAGAAGAAGAATCAAAACAAGAAGAAAAGTTAAGAAGAAAAAGAAGAAGAAAAAAATAGAAGAACAAGAAGAAGAAAAAAAATAAAAAACAAGAAAAACAAAAGAAATAATAATAACAAAAAAAAAGAATGAACAGGAAGCAGAAGAGAAGTAAAAACAGGAAGCGAGAGCCGAGACGCGCGCGCCTGCTTGCTTGCGCGCGCGCCTGCTTGCTTGCGCGCGCGCCTGCTTGCTTGCGCGCGCGCCTGCTTGCTTGCGCGCGCGCCTGCTTGCTTGCGCGCGCGCCTGCTTGCTTGCGCGCGCGCCTGCTTGCTTGCGTGCGCGCCCTGCTGCTTGCGCCGCGCCGATTGCTTGCGCGCGCGCATGCGTGCTTGCGCGCGCGCCTGCTTGCTGCCGCGGCCCCTGCCTGCTGCGCTGCGCGGCTGCTCTTGGCGCGCGCCTTGCTTGCTTGCCGCGCGCAGGTGCTTGCTTAGCGCGCGCGGCCTGCTTGCTTGCGGCGCGAGCTATCGATTGCTTGCAGCGCGCGGCCTGATTGCTTGCGAGCGCGCTGCTTGCTTGCGCGCGCGCCCTGCTTGCTGCGGCGCGCGCCTGCGTGCTTCGCGGAGCGCGCCTGCGTGCTTGAGCCGCGCGCAGCCTGCTTGCTGCGCTGCGCGCGGCATGCCCCGTGCTTGCTTGCGCAGGGGCTGAGCCTCCTGGCTTGCGCGCGGCGCCGGCTTGCTTCCGATTTGCGCGCGCCTGATGCTGAGCGCGGCGCGGCCTGCTGCTTGCGCCGCGCGGCGGCATGCTTGCTTTGCGCGGCGCGCCATGCTTGCTTTTTTCGGCGCGTGCGCGCGCCTGCTTGCTTTTTTTTTTTGTGGGGGGGGCGGGCGCGGCGCGCAGCTGCATTGTTTTTTGGCGCGCGCGCGGCCCTGCTTGCTTGCTGCGCGCGCCTTGCTTGCTTGCGCGCGCGCCTGCTTGTTGCGCGCGCGCGCATGTTGCTTGCGCGGCGCGCGCCTGCTTGCTTGCGCAGCGCGCGCCGCTTGCTTTTGCGCGCGCGAGCCTGCGTGCTTGCGCGCCTCGAGCGCTGCTGCTTGCGACGGGCGCATGCGCATGCTGCTTGCGCGCTTGAGACGCTGCTTGCTTGCTTGCGCGCGCGCTGCTTGCTTGTTGCGCTGCGCGCCTGCTTGCTTGCTTGCGAGGCAGCGGACTGGCTTTTTTTTGCTTGCTGCGCGCGCGCTGCTGGCTTGCTTGAGCGCGCGCACTGCTTGCTTGCTTGCGCAGCGCGCCTGCTGCTTGCTTGCGCGCGCGCCTTGCTTGCTTTGCTGCGCTGCGAGGCACTGCTTGCTGCGCGCTGCGCGCATGCTTGCTTGTGGCGCAGCGCGGCCTGCTGCTTGCGCATGCGCGCGCCTGCTTGCTTGCGCGCGCGCGCCTGCGTGCTGCGCGCCGTGCGCGCCTGCCTTGCTTCGCGCGGCGCGCCTGCTTGCTTTTGCGAGCTGCGCGCCCGGCTTGCTGCGCGCGCGCGCCTGCTTGCTGCGCTAGCGCGCGCCCTCTGCTTGCTTTGCGCGCGCGCGCCTGCTTGCTTGCAGCTGCCGCGCGCCTGCTGGCTTGCCGAGCGAGCGGCGCTTGCGCGCGAGCGCCTGCTTGCGTGCGCGCGAGCGCCTGCTTGCTTGCGCATCGCGCGCCTGCTTGCTGCGCGCTGCGCGCTGCTTGCCTTGCGCCTGCGCAGCGGGGGGGGGGGGGGGGGCCTGCTGCTTGCGGCTGCGCGCGGCCTGCTTGCTGCGCCGCGCGCGCCTGGCTTGCTTGCGCTGCGCGCGCTGCCTTGCTTGCTGCGCGCGCGCGCCTGCTTGCTTGCGCGCGCGCCTGCTTGCTTGCGCGCGCGCCTGCTTGCTTGCGCGCGCGCCTGCTTGCTTGCGCGCGCGCCTGCTTGCTTGCGCGCGCGCCTGCTTGCTTGCGCGCGCGCCTGCTTGCTTGCGCGCGCGCCTGCTTGCTTGCGCGCGCGCCTGCTTGCTTGCGCGCGCCTGCTTGTGCGCGTGCTCGCGCTCGCTCGCGCGCGCGCGCGCGCGTGTGTGCTCGGGCGTGCGCGAGAGCTTGAGCGCGCGTGCTCATTGGCATCAACGGGGGGTCAAAAGTCGCAACACGCACGTCCAAAAGAACGACGAAACCCATGTTTTCCCGAGAAAAAACACGTATTCTCCGAGGTTGGGCGCCTTTTTCTGTTCCCGGCCCTTGCCCCCAGGCGAGCATCACGAGCATCAGCAGCCTGGGCCCGCATGCGAACAGGTGGCTATAGACCCCTTGGTTTTGGATGCCTTGGCCGCTGTCGCCCGCCCCCACCCCCCAGGGCTTCGGGGAGCTGCCCTTGGAGCAGCGCCAACCCACGCGACGTGCGCACGGTTGGCGCTGCGTGCATACACGGCAGCCATAACGAGGACGTTTTGAACAGTTTTTCGCACAACACGCAAAACAACACGGTATTTACCACGTTTTTCGGCCCCTCGGACCCCCCCCCCCCCAAGCGAGTGTCATGAGCATCAGCGAGGCCCTCATGAGCATCAGCGAGGCTCCGGAGCCGGGACCTAAGGGCCCTGGAGAAATGAAGGGCTCATGATGCTCACCCGTGGGTGCGCATCGTGAGCGTCGGCTGACCCCCCCGAAACCGTGGGTGTCAATGATGCTCACCGTGGAGGCGCGGCAGTGCCCCAAAAAAGGAGGTGTGTGTCGAGACACGCGAAAAACACGGTATTTACGATGTTCTGGCTTTGTTGAGGCGCCCGGCCCTCCTGTGGCCCCGGAGGCGGGTCGCTGATGCTCATGATGCTCGCCCCTGTTGAGGCGTCGGTACCCACCCAAAACTTGAGGTATATGGTCTTTTTTCGCATGTTCGCCCAATGTCAAAAAGCAGGGTCGATGGGTCACGCATCATGAGCCCTCCAGGGCGTTTGGCGGCCCGCCAAAAACGCAGAAAAGCATGGCATTTACGATGTTTTCGGCACTTCCACGCATTCGCGTTTGGGACCCCGCTGCCCTCCCGGGGCTCCCCCCCGGAAGGAACCATGCGATTTTCAGGGCCGGTCGGCGACACGGGCGGCAGCCCGTAAAAGGCAAGCCTTTAGGCTGGCCGTGCTCCGCACTGGACCACAACGGCCAGGCCGGATTGAAGGGCTGACGCCACTGCCGCCGACCCCGCAAAGGGGCGGCCGGCAGCGGGGAGAAGATGCGGGCGGGCACAGCAAGAATGTAGGGGGGGATAGGGGGGGCGGGTTGGGCTCTGTGGGGTTAGGGGACGGGGGGGTGGGCAAAGCAAGGGTCGGGTGTGGGAGCTCAAGCGGAGTTTTTTTGTGTGAGTTGGGCTTTCCCAGCGCTCGACCCCAAGAGCGGGGTCGGCGGATGTTTTGCTTCTCTTATGTTCAACGAAGAACCGGCAACAATGCACAGGGAAACCTCGGTTCATTTCCTTTTCCCTTCCATCATAAACAAGAGGCCCTTTAGGACCTTAGGACAATAATAGTGTACTTTGGCGCCGCAATAAACTTATTATATTGTTTTTAAAATACGGGCTTCATTAACTGGCAATCCTTTCAGAAAAACGCACGATTATCATACTATACGTGAATACAATGCGAATAGAGCGACCTTTGTCGACGAACTCCTAGTGAATGAAGAGAGTGAGCAAAGTTAATTTGTGAGGGAGTGAGTGAAACGAATACACGCGCGAAATTACCTTGCGAATGAACGAAATGGGGGGTTCAAGGGGACTATATAGAAACCAGTATTCGCCCCCCCCCCCCCCCTTCATAGTAGCTTCATGAATTTATAAGTAGTGCACGAAATCCATTAAAGTACGAACGAAGTGGGGGATCCAACAGACAGCAGTCTATGACGATTGACTGCCAAGGAACAATCATTCAAGAAGCATTCTATCTTTCTTGGGGGTTTTGTTCGCTTTTTCACTCACGCACTTACAATATGAATTCGTGCGTGCGTTCATTCACTTCGTTCTCTACACGGTATTAATATAATAGGGGCGTGCAAACACTTTAGTATAAGACAAAGCCGCCCCCCAAACTGAATCCCTGTCGCCTGGGTCCTCAGGCCAGCCAGTGGAAGGCGCAGTGTACACCTCCTGCGGGGAGGTCGCAGCTTTCCTCGGCTTTGCAGAGGCTACCTGAAGTTTTGGGCATGGGATTCCAGAGGTTCAGGGTGTGGGCCAGCATGGGCTCTTGTGCGTTTGCTACAGCTGGTTAAGGCGGAAAGAACCAGAGGAGCTAAGCATCACAACTGCAGTTCATCGTGAGAATCATGCGCATCGAGCCTCACAAGAGGCTGCTTGTGAGTCCTATACCACAGCATTACGTCCTAAGCCCGCATCCCAAATCGCTCAACCCTAAACCTGCAACAGATGTTCAACCTTAAGCCCTATATGAACCTTATGCCACGCTGGCCAGGAACTGCGAGCCACGCATGTGCGCTCAAGGCCTTGGCCTCCACACCCGCAGGGTCCGATTGCATGATTACCTGTGTATACAGTTTGGGGTCGAAATCGGAAAGTAGAATGCCGTATGCCATATAGCATACCATAGTCTGTACTGTAGTCGAAGATAGTCTACTAGAGTGTTACTTTGGGGCCGTATTGATTGCTGGTAGTGCACTTGGATCCTTAGGGTTAGACTGAGTCATACTGCTTTCAGGATCCCAAAAAGGGAGCCTCGCCCGGCTGTCGACCAAAAAGCCGTTGTTTTGAAGTGGCCTCGATTTTGCGCGTTCTTAGTTCGAGAGGTCAGTCTCAGCTTGCCGTCTTGATTTACACCAGCTTTTGCAAGCAACCAGAAATTGTGCAGAAACAGGTTGGCTCGGGTGAAGTTTTTGGAAACGAAACAATGACATTGGCTGCATTACCCAGCCAGCAAAGGTGCCCTCATTGTTGCAGCTGTGACCCCAGGAAATGATGGCAACAAAGCAGAAACGCTATCACATCATACCTTCTGCCTCCTCCCGATATTCCATACCTCCTAGTCTCCTAAACACTGTTTGCTTAGACAGAGAAGTTTTAGGCGTGAGGGCACTTGCATGCTGACTTCACGTGCATCGGCGCAGCTCTGGATCTTGTAAGTTTCAGACCCCCAACTTCTGCGCAGCTTTTAGCTCCTCTTTGCTATGGGGATTGTTAGAGATGCCCACTTTGAGCTCCTGAGAACTCACAAGGTCTGAGCACGAGCGGCCCAACATGACAAACTCCGCAGCACTACAGTTTGGGAATTGGCATGACCCCACCGTCCATCGGCCCAAGACATTCTGTTTGATGAGCTGGCGATGTCAAGTCTTGCAAGTTAACTTTCTGAAAGTGGATCGAGGATGAGGGGGTATCGGGTCCTCTTGACTTGCGCCCCAGGTTCTATCGCCTTAAGTTGGGATGGCCGTGGCAGGAAACAAGAGCTGTCGACGAGATGTTCGGGATGTCAGACCCCGAAAGGCTTCACTTTAAGTTCCATCTTTTGTAAGGCTGCCGTGACAGCAAGCACAAGGAATGCGGAACATCACAGTTTAGTCAGACACCGCCGCAGCACCACATTTTTGAGGATTCCCGCAAACGCGGGTCAGGCTTGAATTAGGGTCAACATCGCGCCATGATAGAAGGCTTGTGCCCACCTGGTGGGAGAGCAGCCTGCCAGCAGTGCGTTGCCGTCTGCGGTTTGTGCTAGACAGGTTCCTAAGCAGGATTCTAGTTTTTGAGAGCCGCAAGAGCGGCCTAGCAGATTTGCTGAAGCAACAGGGATGACATTAGTTCTCGACCAAGTGGCCTTGACTGAGATTGGGAGAGAGAGAGAGAGAGAGAGAGAGAGAGAGAGAGAGAGAGAGAGCGAGAGAGAGAGAGAGAGAGAGATTTTTTGGGTCTACGTGGGGCGCAGACCTCAATACGCGCAACGCTCATTGAAGCCAGATTCTTTGGACTCGCCATGAAAATCGAACCGGAAACTCGCATGCGACAAATCGTACGAGAGAAGCGCTGGCTTGACGAGGAGTCCACAGGCTCGGGCACTCACCTTGAGCTCCTAAACCTCAAAGGCTCAAACCCTCACGTCTTGACTCAGAGCCCCTTAGCCCTCGAAGCCTAGGCCTATGCCTGGCCGCCTCAAACCAACCTCCTCGCCATCGCCCAGGTGGAGGTGGACATCTTCTTACACGAGGAGGTGCGGGAAGGGACCGCTACAGTTGGGGTTACTGGTAGGGTCTCGCATGTCCGAGAAAGCCGGGCCCCCTTTCCGAGCCTGGGTTCTTCCTTGATTCCATTGGTTGAGGGTGCTGAAATATGTCTGGGTTTAGGGATTAGGGTTCAAGAAAGTTAAGCTTTGAGAGCAGATCCAAAAGCTTCAGCATAGGAGCCCCTGGGTAAGCATGAGAGACCAATCCCGTGCACCAAATCCAGATCCGTTCGAGGTAGTGCTCCGCTGTTGCGGCTTGCCCTGTGCAGCTTTATGAACCAGTTTGCATAAGTCTGGGGTTTAGGTCTCCCTACCTGTGCCTTGAGCAGGGTGAAAGTGTTGAAGGATAAGTGAGCCTTCCTTGCTTAGATCTCCCAGTTATGTGTAGGATGTATCTTCATCAGTTTCCCTTGGAGAATCTCGTGTGAGGCTTCGGCCATAAGGAGTATTCTAGAGTATTCTATAGCATTCGAAAAAGAATGTATGGCATATTATAGTTTCCTTTGTGCTAGGCATTTCGGCCCCAGGCAGCTGTTGAGCCTGCAAGGCGAAGTTGACCTTCGGCCCTCAACCCCAGTTCATTCGCAATATCCATTCACAGTCCTCCTAGACATGTGCAAGAATCTCCTCATTATTTGGAAGCATCTTGTTCCAGCGCCCTGCACCCCCAGCCCCAGGCACCTGCACAAGGACAAAATTGGTCCGTCAGAGGTTCCATGCATGACCTGCGCCCCAAACGACCAAGACAGAGCAGCAGCCCAACGAGAAAACAGTCATTTCAAGTCCGCACGCGCGAACATCGCCTTCGTCCGTGCCATGACCAGCAAGGCTTGCCCTGCGGGCTTTCGGATGTGTATAGATGTTAGTCGACATTTTGCGGTGGCGGTTTAAGCTTCTCATTATGGTCTTGATCATGGGGATATATGCATATATGCGGCAGTTGACCTGCTTACCGCGTGGCGTTGCCTGATTTTGCCCAGGCTTCGTTCAGAGTGTTTTAGGGGGTTAGGGGACACAGAACGGCCCAAATGAAGCAAGAAGGTGTTCCTGGACATCGACATCGATGGCGAGCTGGCGGCTTTCAAGCTCGGCCAGGCCTTCGTGGAGGCCTGTCACGGACAATTAGACGGCTGTAGTGGCGGATCCGTCTTCAGAAAGCTGCCGCCCTCGTTTGGTTGCTGTAAGAGCTACCGGGCTAAAGTGATGGTTTGTGCTTGCTGGGGACGTGTGTCGACCTGTCAGGCCAACGACATCAAGTACTCGCTGAGCTCCAAGGCAGGGAGGGCCTTCGAAACGCTCGAACCGGAACCGTTTCGAAAAATCTGGGACACGCGCACGCATCCTGACGCACACAAGCAAAAGCCTGCACAGCCCATTCAGCTGGGTGGCGGCACTTGCGACGGCTTGCAGCCTTAGAATCTCTAATTGTGCTGTCAACCGCACAAACCAGCAGTCACCCTCATTGACCTATTGAGCAGTGAGGTTTTCAAGGTTGCTTGAAGTAGGAACCTTGACAAGAACCTCAACGAAAACTTCAAGAAGATCCTCCATGATATCCTTAGGGGCTACTTGAATCACAGGTTTATACGAGGAGCAAAACTCGCTACGAAGATAATTGTCGTGATAATGGTCGTCCTTCGCTAGAACATGAACCCCAAATCGTCCTGACAAGGACGTCCTGGCGCTCGGGGGCTCGGAGCTCTCGCGGCTGCCGGAGCTTTTCGAGGCACTCCCCGGGGCTTGAAGTACAGGGTTGGCTTTTGGGTTTAGGGTTTAGGGTTTAGGGTTTAGAGTTTAGAGTTTAGAGTTTAGGGTGTAGAGTTTAGGGTTTATGGTTTGAGGGCCTTTGGGGTCTTGGGGTTGGGGGTTTTGAGGGTCTGAGATTTCGGGTTGAGGGTTGCGGTGTTTTCGAGTCTGCGTTTTCGGGGTTGAGGACGGGTCGGGAAGCGGGGGGGGGGGGGGGGTTGGCACTCACACAAAAGGCCATCGAGATCCAAAGAGTCATTGTCAACTTGTTTGTATGTTTCGTTGAATACGTGCTCTCTGCCCCTGTCCCTTATGCTTCAGGTCCAAAAGTCCAAAACCGATCATCACAATCCCTCTCACCCTAACTGCCCTGTGCACGTCACCGCCTGCTAGTCTGACTACGAATGGAGTCAGAAGGGCAGAGCATTGTCCGTGCCTCAGGTTGAGCGTGCAGGGTTTGGGGGCTAGGCGCGTATGAACCCAAAAGCCTACAGTTACTTGCGCTGCCAGTGCCATTTGCAGGAACCCCTAGACCCTACAACCGAAAATCCCTGCACCACCAACATCCCAATGTGCGGGATCAATCCACAGTGGCCCTTTGCGAGACCCAGGCTAACATGCATAGTAAGGCTCCGATGGATCCTCCCCATTTTGGAACCCGTAAGCTAGCACCCTTGAGCCCTGAACATTTAAACTGTAAACTCTATCAAAACCTATAAACTGAAAAACCTCTATACACCTGAAAAACATCTTATAAACCCTCGAAGGCCCGACCCCAAAAGGCATCCTTTTTTTGAAACGCGAAGGTTTAAGCCGCCCCAGCAGCGCGTGGTTGCACGGAGCTGTGCAGGGATTTTTTTTTTGAAGGGCTTCTCAGGGTTTAGTCAGGGTTTAGAGGGCTTTTAAAGGGCTTTGAAGGGTTCTCGGCTCAAGGGTTTCAGGGTTTTAAGGATGGTTTCAGGGGTTCAGGGTTTAAGGGGTTCAGGGTTTGAGAGCTGCCGGGGACACGGGGATGTTCAGTTCTGTCTTTCCCTCACTCTCTGTCTATACACATGTTATACGTCTGATCATGCATGCATTTTTGCATATTTATTTGCAAGCCTCTTTTGCCAAGGTTGGTGAAGGTTTGCTGTATCCATGCTTCGTCTTCATGACTTTCTGATCGCATCCTTCCATGCTCCTTTCATGCACACGAAGACTCGTCGACAGCTCAGCTGTATTGCGCGGACCTTGCAGTCCTGATTCCCGAGCCCGACTGCTTCGACGCCGAAACAAAGAAAGCCTACGAAAGACTCATCAAGGAACCTAGAACCCCCGAAGCCCTACAAACACTATAAAGCCTTAGCCTTAGCCGATGCTTCCTTTCCGTCGGGTCCGAGGTCGAGCTCTTTGACAAGGAGAGCCCGATGGCCTGCACCAACTTCAAGGCGTGATCGTGGGTGTGACGATTTTCGGGGGTGTTCGGGGTGTTTGGTGTGTGGGGCTGCGCGCCCGTCTGCCATGTTAAGGCCGGGCCATGCAAAGCTGCATGCGAGCCCCTAGTTCCAAGCTTCACACCGTGAGCT